AATTCTGGTCCTCGTTGAGAGTTCCAGCGAACCTTCACGATAGGAATTCGACTTTGTTTTAAACGCTTTACTTCTCGATCCATAATCTCCACAGGTTCTTCAACAAAGTGGAGTTTGGTGTTCAGTTGGATATCATCGTGAGGTATTACATTGGTATCATTCGACAGACACTTCTTCAGGTTTGACACATGAAAGACATCATGCACTTTGTCTAGTTCCTGAGGCAGCTTTAGTCGGTAAAGAACACGACCAATTCTGTCGAGGATTTCGAAAGGTCCAATGTATCTTGGGTTTAACTTGCCTCTCTTCCCAAACCGAATCATACCTTTCCAGGGTGAGACTTTTAACATCACTCGGTCCCCAACCTGGAATTCTAGAGGTTTACGTCTCACGTCAGCATAACTTTTCTGACGATCACGTGCGGCCTTAAGTCGATCTTTAATCTGAACTATCTTTTCGGTCGTTTCGTGAATTATCTCTGGCCCAGTGCGTAGAGTGTCACCTGTGCGTTCTCGCGCCAATTGCGTATCTCCAAACTCTGTCCAACATATTGGCGATCTACACTTGCGTCCGTATAAAGCTTCAAACGGTGCAGCTTTGATGCTGGTGTGATAGCTATTATTATAGGAGAACTCAATCAATGGTAGATGAGTATCCCAAGAGTTTCCAAAGTCTATCACACATGACCGAAGCATATCTTCCAGTGTTTGAATGGCTCGTTCACTTTGACCATCAGTCTGGGGATGGTAAGTTGTACTCATATCTAAGCGGGTTCCCAGGGATTTTTGTAGTGATTGCTAGAACCTAGAAGTGAATCTACTATCTCTATCTGAGATAATAGAAATTGGCACTCCATGAAGTTTGACAATTTCCCTGAGATACGTTCTTGTTAGCTTTTCTATTTTGTCAGTTTCTTTGATTGGTAGGAAATGGGCAACCTTTGTTAACCTGTCAACCACCACCCAAATAGTGTCGTACCCGCTAGGGGTCTTAGGTAGTTTGGTGATAAAGTCCATTGAAATTTGTTCCCATTTCCACTCGGGAATCTCGGGTTGTTGTAGTAATCTCGATGGCTTTTGATGCTCTGCCTTGACTTTGGAACATGTCAGGCATTTGCCCACATAAGTGGCAATCTCAGCTTTCATATTAGGCCACCAATACAATTTCTTCAGATCCATATACATCTTGTCAGAGCCAGGATGTACTGAATATCTTGATCGGTGAGCTTCTTCCAAGACTAAGCTCATCATCTCACCAAACTTTGGCGTCCAGATTCTGTTCATGAAATAACGGGTTCCATCATCCTTAAGCTCAAAATTCTTATCCATTCCTCGTAAAGCTTCTCTCCCAACATTCTCTTCTTTTAGGGCTTCCAATTACGCTTCCCGGATTTGTGCATTGAGGTTGGAATGGATGGTCATAGTCAGTGCTTTTACTCGTCGGGGTTTCACACGTTCCTTACGACTTAGGGCATCTGCTACAACATTTGCTTTTCCCGGATGATACCGAATCTCGCATTCGTAATCGTTCATTAACTCGATCCATGTCCTTTGCCTCATGTTTAGTTCTTTTTGATTGAATATGTGTTGGAGACTTTTATGATCTGTGTAAATAGTACACTTGGTTCCATAGAGGTAGTGTCTCCAAATCTTCAAGGCAAAGACTACTGCTCCCAACTCAAGGTCATGGGTTGTGTAGTTATTTTCATGGATTTTGAGTTGACGAGAGGCATACGCAATGACCCTGTCTCTCTGCATTAATACGCACCCCAAACCCTGAATTAACGCATCGCAGTATACTACGAAATCTTCAGTTCCTTCAGGTAAGGATAGGATTGGTGCGCTACATAACATCTCTTTTAACTTCTGGAATGCGGCTTCCTACTTGCTTCCCCAGTCAAATCTAGTTTCTTTTTGTGTTAGTGTAGTGATAGGCTTTGCTATCTTGGAGAAGTTTTCAATAAATCTCCTGTAGTAGCCTGCAAGGCCTAAGAATTGACGCACTTCCGTTGGCGTCTTTGGTGCGTCCCAATTCTTAATTGCTTCAATTTTTGCAGGATCCACGTGTATTCCTTTGTTACTCACTACATGCCCAAGGAAATGTACTTCTCTGATCCAAAACTCGCATTTGGAGAGTTTGGCGTATAATTTTTCTTTCCTCAGCAGTTCCAAGATTAATTTTAGGTGTTGGCCGTGTTCTTCTTTGGTGCGAGAATAGATTAGAATGTCATCGATGAATACTATCACGAACTTATCTAAGTATTGCTTGCACACACGGTTCATGAGGTCCATGAATACTGCTGGAGCATTGGTTAATCCGAAAGGAATAACTAGGAACTCGTAGTGTCCATATCGAGTCCTAAATGCCGTCTTCGGAACATCCTCCTCTACCACCTTCAGTTGATGATATCCAGATCTAAGATCTATCTTTGAATAGTAATTGGATCCCTGAAGTTGATCAAACAGGTCGTCTATTCGGGGGAGTGGATAACGGTTCTTGATTGTTAATTTGTTCAACTCCCGATAGTCGATGCACATCCTGAAAGACCCATCCTTCTTCTTGACGAATATGACCGGTGCTCCCCAAGGCGAGAAGCTCGGTCTAATGAAAAACTTTATCAAGAAGTTCCTGCAGTTTACTCGAAAGTTCTTGCATCTCGGAAGGGGCCAATCTGTAGGGGGATTTTGCTACTGGTGCTGCTCCTGGAATTAAGTCGATTCTGAATTCGACACTGCGGTTTGGTGGTAGTCCATGAAGATCTTCTGGAAATACGTCGGAATAGTCACATACTTGTGGTATGTTTTTGATTTCTTTCTTTTTGCTTTTCTTATCTATTACATGCGCCAAGAAGGCATAGTACTTCTTGTATAGATATTTTTGAGCTTTGGTGCAAGAAATAAGCTTTAAATTCTGACCCGACTTGTCACCGTAGATCGTCATGGTCTCCCCGTTACTTAGTGTTAGACGTATTGCCTTTTCAAAACATAAAATCTCGGCATGGTGAGGAGACAACCAATCCATACCGATAATAATGTCGAAGCTCCCAATTGGCATTGGCATTAGATTAACAGGAAACGTATGGTCGTTTAGAGTTAGGATACAATCACGTAGGATTTCGGTGGTGCTTTCAACTTGACCGTTTGCTACTTCTACTTCATATGATACATCTAATTTACTAGACTCGTGATTTAATAGTTGTTTAAATGATGGGGTTATAAAACTTCTATCAGCACCGGAGTCAAAGAGAATCGTAGCATATAAGTTATTGATGATAAACGTACCAGTAACCACCAAGGGATCTTGTATCGCATCCCTATTCCCAATCACAAAAGCTCGACCACGAGCCTGGCCATCGACTTTCTTCAGTTTCGAGCAATTCCTCTTGACATGACCTTTATCTCCACATTCGAAACAAGTTACTCCTCCTCCTGACCCTGATCCATTGCCCCTGTCTTGTACTGCTGCAGCAAGTGTCGTGCCTCGACAAAAGTTTGCAGTATGCCCTTTCTTGTTGCATGCAGTACAGTGGACACATTCTCCAACATGGTGTCGGTTGCATTTGGTGCATAGTGGTTTGTTTCCAGCATAACTCTTATGTTGGGTATGAATAGGGGCCGGAGTCACAGCGTACACCTTTTCAATCTGTTGTTTCTTCTGTTGACCCTGGCTTCTTCCACTGAACTTGCGTTTGTGGTGATTATTTCCAGTTTTTGGGGGTTTCAACCTTAGCTATCATCGTCCCTTGATCAATTTCATTCTTAGTCAATTGAAATGCCAGACGCTTAGTACTTAGATAGGTTGTAGGTTTCGATGAAAGAAGCATCCCCTTAATTTGAGGTGTTAGGCCCCAAATGTAGCCTTCGACCTTCTTGCTTTCGGGGGTCACCATTCCTGGGCAGAGAAGTGCACGGTCGTTAAACCTAGTTGTATATGCTTTGACTTCAGCACCTTTCATCTTCAAGTTCCATAGTTCGTGTTCTAACATCTGCACCTCATCTCGTGGACAATATTCTTCAATTAACAGAGCCTTAAAGTTCTCCCAAGACATGGAGTTTGCAATTGAAACTCCTATAGTTTTTACGTGATCGTTCCACCAAGTTAAGGCTCCATCCATCAGGGTACATGCGGAAAACCGCACTTTGCTACCCTCAGGGCAATAGTAGATCTCGAAGACTCCTTCTATATTTTCGATCCAACGAGTTAGACCGATGACTCCCTCATTTCCGTAAAAGTTCTTCGGTTTGCAATTCATGAAGTCCTTGTATGAACAAGTCCTTTGAGGTTCATCAGGATTTGAGTTGAGAGTGCTTCTGAGTCTGTTCCTGAGCCCATTCACTTCCACGATAGGCCTTCCAGAGTCCAGATTCCTAGCAGTTGCCAATGCGATTGAGAGGCGTTCAGATATTAGTTGTTCCAATTCTGCAGTGGTTTGGGGAAGCCCTGACTCAGGGGGTGGAGGCATTGGTGTGTTAGAAGATGGTGTTTCTCCTACCGGGGTCACCACTGGACTTGTTCGACCTTTTCTGGGGCGTCCAGCTCTCGGTTGTGCTGTTGCTTGTGGAGTTGGTACACCTGGGTTTAAACGAGTGCTCTTTCTTGGAGGCATATTGTCGTCCTATAATAGTCAGTAAGTTTGCGATGTTAGTGTTAGCCACTTTAGGAATTTATTTTGGAAAAATTATTTCTGTTTTGATTTATTTATTTATTTATTTATTTTTTGCAATTGTTGTTTACAAAATGGTTCATATGATAGTTCGACAAGGTTTTGAAACTAAATACATCATATATTTCATTTTAAGCATTAGTATCCGTTTACATCGGTCTTTACTTGTACAAAATGTAAAGACCTAAGTTTTAGGGGTACAAAAGCCCTAACTCTTGCTATATTACAGGCGAAACAAACAAAACTAACGTATACTCATAAGACCTAACATATCCGAAGAGTTATATCAAAATTTGCAAGTTTAACAACTTGCCATGCCACAACCCGATACTTCTTATCACCAGAAATTCATCCATTGAGCCACCACATTGGACAACTCGGTGTGCTTTGCAACCAGTTCTGCATGGTCTGCTGCGAGAGTTGCGTGCCTTTCTTCGAGTGTTTCATGGTTTTCTTCGAGTGCTACATGCCTTTCTTCAAGTGTTTCATGAATTTCTTTGAGTGCTACATGCCTTTCTTCTATTCCATGTGCCAGAGAGAGAGCAATATCGTTTTGATTCTCCATAGCAATCATCCGTGAATTGCAGTTCATCCAGTTGCTATGGTGATAGTTCATTCGTTGGTGGAGGTTATCCAACTCAATCTGTTGTTGTTCTTGTTGTCTCCCCATACGAGTCATTCCTCCTCTGGTTCGTGCTACCTGTCCCTGTATGGTGCTTAGTTCATCACTGATGTGTCAGGCTTGTCCATGCAAGCGGGTATTTTCTTCGAATAGGAGAGACAAGTCATCAATGTCCATGGGAGATGGAGGTGTCGTTCCTGACGCTTAACCTTTCTCGAAAGTTCTCGCGGCCTTCCATTCGGATATCCACTTGTTCACCTTGTTGCTTTCCCAGGCAGGTCGATCTACCCTCTTTTGGGTGTAGGAAAACCTCTTGCTTTGCCTCAGCGTTGTGGGTCTTCGATCTGGGATTGACATCCTGGCTGTTTTCCTAGGACATCGACTTGGAGCTGTAGTGAAAGAGTGAATTGGGGTGGTTGGAGGTGTGACAGATGATTCTGATTCAGTTATCATTATCACTTCATCATCATCTTCCTCTTCCATGTCATCCTCAGGATCTTCTTCCTCGAGATCCTCTTCCATGTCCTCCTCAGGATCTTCTTCCTCGGGATCGTCTTCCATGTCCTCCTCAGGATTTTCTTCGATCTCAATCTCCTCCGGTTGTATCGGTGCCTCCTCGACTGGTGGGATAGGGTTGTATGCTACAGGGAGCTCGGGATAGTATGGATCTCCAGGGATTACGGTAAGCACGGGTTCGTTTGCTGGGGGTTGAACCAACATCCATAGTTCGTCCATCTAGAATGGATTTTAAAGAAAATATTAGAATCCAAAGTACATCGATAAATATAAAAAAAATTTATAATTATTTATTTGGTTCTATCAATTATTCGTGTCTATTGACTGGTTTTAGCTTCCTTAAAAATCCAAGCTTTTAGTTTATCAATTATTTCATTTAGGTTGGATAATGCACAAGGCTCGATCATAATAAAACTTAGGTGCGCAAGCTAGGTCTAGTTGTGATAAAGCATATGTATTATGAAACCTATTTGATTAATTGATCTAAATTCTTGTGTTTCAATCTTTTATATATATATATATATATATTATATATATATATATATATATATTCGTTTACACACATAGATGAGTTTTTTTTATAAGATAAATAAATATTAATTTATGTTTAATAAAACTCTATTTTTAAGTTTTTGTAGGATAGCAGTATATCTATACGTACTAGACTAAGTCCTAGACAATAGTTGTATTTTTAGGAAAATACTTAGTTCTCTATAGTCGTTAGCTCTGATACCAATCTGTCACACCCCGACCGACAGCGGAAAAGCCGGGGTTGCGACGTTTACAATTGGAACCACAGTCAACCACATATATTGAACATTCATAAATTAATATATTACGAACTTTGGTTTTGTAAACATTATTACAATATAGTAATTATTCAAATACGAAACATTAAAAAAAAGACCAAATTAATAATAATAAAGGAAACTACGATCTCCTTGAAACCGATGATTTACCTCCAACTTCTTAGTTACCTGAGAATACACATTTAAAATACGTCAACAAAATTTGTTGGTGAGTTCCACAGGTTTTGACTCCGTGAAATTTATATAAAATAAACAGATAAAATTTGGAGTATTTGCAAAAAAAAAAAAATGTTTAACCCAAAAATACTACTAGTACAACCTTGTAGAAGTTTGTATTAGTATTTATGTATCTAGGATGTTGTGGAGTAAATAACCGAGCTATGACTTGTTCAAGCCTCTGTGAAGCACAAAAAGGTGGTTGTTGTCCCAACGACGTTTCATCGACGTCGTGATAAAAGAATAAGATAAAGAAAACAAGAAGTTATCGTCTGATTTGTCTCGTCATACGAATGTTGTAGCTATCAACCACACAGACGGGGGTGTTAACCCGTATAGATCTATACACAACGTTCTTCGCTCACAAAGGATTAACGGTTATAACAGAGGACTTTACTAAGTTGGTGTTCTTAGTTTTGATGAATAAGAAAATCCCCACAACAATCCCAATTATAATTAACGTTCTACTATTGTCAATGGTTGGATACATAGTGTCATAAAATTTGCTAATCTTTAAATATAACTCAATATGGCTTTTCCCATGAAAATATAATAACTTGATTTAAAGGATTAATGTACATATTATTATCAACAAATATACTTCCCTTTACCGTTCATTATCATATATAAATAATGATAGTAAATTTCTATTTATTTATATCGTAACCATGAAAATATAACTTTATAAATCATTTCATATAGATTTTTGACATGGAATTTATTTATAACATGGTCGTGATATTTTTAAGAATATAACTGCAAGTGTATATTGTCGGTATAAGATGAAACATAGACTTGAATTAACATAGATGTACATAAACTCCAATAAGTGTAAATAAGTTTAAGTATCATGTTTTGTTGTGTGTATTCCCCCTGGAAATGATTTAAAATATTTTAAATGGGGCCGTTCACTTTTGTCGCGTGACGGTATTTAGTTCGAGGAAGTCGGGATGTTTCCGGTTCCACCGAGGTTTGAGACTTGAATGCTTTTGGGAAGTATGTGGCTTGAAAATCACATCAATTATACAAGAAAAGAGTTGAATGCTTTTGAGACTTGAATGCTTTTGGGACTTGAATGCTTTTGGGATGTTTCCGGTTCCACCGAGGTTTGACGGTATTTAGTTCGAGGAAGTCGGGATGTTTCCGGTTCCACCGAGGTTTGAGACTTGAATGCTTTTGGGAAGTATGTCAGATTGAGTGTAATATAGAGAACATTTAGTTGCGCTTGTAAGGGAGAAATGAGGCGGGAAAAGGTCGGCATTTATAGGGGAAAGGGGGAAGAGAGTGACAATTTAGGTAGAAGGTAAAATGTTTGATATCTTTCTCAAGATTTCTCATAACTGTTTTTGATCTCCAAATATTTACCTGGTTAGGATCCAAGTAATTTAGTTTGGGTAAAAAGATATTAAATGAATAAAAGAATTATGAGTGAGAGAGGGTGGTAACGAAATGGGGTGTAGATGGGTTAGATTATGCATGTGTAGTATAATTCCTTTGACGTCATATTTGCAAGTTGTCTCGCAAGTTGTATGTAGCCCCTTTTCTTTTCTTATTATTATATATAATAATTATTTATTTATTTATTTTATTACTTAGATTAGGACCTATTACTTGTGCCTTTCACTTATAAGTTGCTGAAGCATGGAAGCTATATTCCTTTTTATGCCCACACGCATCTTATATTGTAGCTATATGAGAGATAGAGGTATAGCCCTTCCAATTTTTCTCAGGTGCACAATAGCCTATATTCTTATCATTATCCTTACTATTATATTTTATTTTATTCATTTATTTAAGTATAAGTATAAGTAATCTATAAAATAACTTTTACATATATTGTTCATATATATTATTTATATATTTGTATTTATTGAGAATAGATCACTATAATCGTCTTAGTATATCTAATTATTCGTAATACATATTGGTATTACGTTTTTATACCATGTTTGAACGATTCATAAGGGTGTTATTTATTTTCCGTCGTCTTTGATCATAAACGACTAAGTTTGATTATATTCAATGTTGTATATAATTCCGTTGATGGCGTCAAACGTAAACGTTCAAGAAAAATTCATGAAATCCATTTTTTTTGCCTATGATGTTTGAATATAATAATTTGAACAAACAGTTTTATTCAATTGTTTCCTTGGAACCGTTTCTAGTTCAAGATAATTTATTATAAAAATAGACTCCGTTATTAGTCGAAATCTTAGATCAAGTTATTATCTAAATTGCAACAACTTTTCTCTAAATCCTTAGATAATACAACACTCATTATTAATATTAATATAGATTATCTTACAAAGGTCTACATTTTGCTAATTGTTACAAGCTCGCACCTTGAAGTTGGTCGAACAGATTGTCAATGCGAGGCAGAGGATAGCGATTCTTGATGGTAAGTTTATTCAGCTCGCGGTAGTCTATGCACATGCGGAATGATCCATCGTTCTTTTTACGAACAAAACCGGTGCTCCCCAAGGTGAGAAGCTTGGTCTTATGAAACCTTGTCTTAGCAGTTCGTTAAGCTGGCTGGATGATTCCTGTATCTCAGAAGGTGCAAGACGATAGGGGGATTTGGCTACAGAGGTACCTCCAGGGATTAAGTCGATTCTGAATTCGACTTGTCGTTCAGGAGGCACTCTTGGAAGATCGTCGGGAAAGTTGCAGACCTCAGGAATGCTCGTGATGTCTTTCACTTCTTTCTTTTTGTCTACCACGTGAGCTAAGAAAGCACAATACTCCTTGCGAAGGTACTTCTGTGCCTTGATGCAAGAAATGATCTGAAGGTTCGTTCTGGGTTTGTCGCCGTAGATAATAAGAGTTTCGTTAGTTGGCAAGTTCAAGCGAATAGCTCTTTCATAACATAGGATGTCAGCATGGTTAGAGCACAACTAATCCATACCTATTATGACGTCAAAACTTTTGATAGAGACCGACATAAGGTTTATTGGGAAAGAAAAGTTATTCAAGGTAAGAGTACATCCTATGTATATATCATTGGTGGATTCGGATTTCCTGTTAGCCATTTCGACTGTGAAAGTTTCATTTAGTGGTTGGGAGTTTTGATTTAGTAGGTGTTTAAAGTTGTGGCTCACAAAGCTCCTCTCAGCACCACAATCAAATAGAATGCATGCATAAGTATTGTTGAGAAGAAACATACCCGTGACCACCGCAGGGTCTGCCACCGCTTCTTCATAACCCAGTGCTAGAATTCTCCCAACTCCACCGACATTTCCAGCTTTTGGACAATCTCTCTTGAAATGCCCCACATCACTACATTGGTAGCATGCTTGACCTACTCCAGCGGCAGGTACTTGGTTAAGCGGTTGAGGTGAAAACCTACAGAATCAAGCAGTATGCCCTTTTCTGTTGCAGTTACGACACTGTATTTCCCGACTATTTCCGTTATGGTGAAAAATTGCACTTGTTGCACTTGGGGAGGTTACTAGCATAAGGCTTAGCTGGTGCAGGGTTAGCAGGAACAGCAGCAAGTACAATAGCAACATTGACTGC